CATAAAATAGATTCTTTACTAAAATAATTCTATGTATACCAGTAATTCTTTACAGCATTAATTAGTTTAATACAAATTAAGACTTTTAACGTTTGTGATTTATTACTACAATTTGTCTGAATCACACCATGTCTGATGCAGGTATTTATCAATTTGATTTGATTATTACAATTGAATCTTAATTGAAATTTCATTTGATAAAATTTATTGTCTATTAAATTGAATATTGTTATAATTAATATAACCTTTTTCTGTGTTTTACTTATTATATTTAATTGTAGGATTCGTGATATTATTGGCAATTATGGCCATATTTGTGGGTGTAATAGGAGTCGACTATTATATCTACGAATATGTGAATGATGTCTATCTAATACTTTTGGCATTACTCGTGTTTATATTTATCAGATTAGCATAAATTAAACCACTGTTATATAAATATCCAATCTGTTATTGAATTGTGTTTTCATGTTACTACTTGTCATTTCTTAAAGTTTATTTGAGTAATTAAATTGGGTTTATAATTTATATTGGCAATTTACTCTATAATAGATATTTAAAATATTCTTTTAAATTTATGTTTCTATATTTATGTTAGTGTTTATGTATTTAATGATGTTAGTTTCTAATCATGATTTAACATAAGGCAAACACACATACCCAGGGATCAAATTCATTACCTAAAAATTATATTGTAAACTTTATCATGTGTATAATTAAAAGCAGTATACTGTATATTTAATTTAAAAGTCTATTACCATTGAATAGAGCGTGTATTCAATAATTTGCAAATTTAAATAAACTGAAAACATTTCGTGTATGAAATTCACAAAAAAACAGTTACAACTGATCGCAAATACTTTGATATATCTTCGACTCATTTCACTATGAATTTACCACAACTTGTATTAATGTTATCATTAATTAAGACATCAGTGAACATAAGTGTGGACATATGCCAAGACGGCAACATTGACTCCATAACTGAATTACAAAACAAAACGATTGCTATATTCAAAGGCAATTTGGTTTGGCTGTTGAGCGCCGGGCGTCTGTCCGGTCCGGTCCTCATCAAGAAGATGTTCACCGAAATGGACAGTAATATCGAGTCGGCCGTCACTATCGAGGTGCACGATTCGGTGATGGAGTTCGCGGGCACCAGTATTTTCTTTGATAGGACCCAGTTCTTCGCGTATCGCAACTTCCGGCCCTATCAGGTGGAGTGGGCGACCCTTCTATACATACCGCACATGGGTTTGAAGACGTCCATCGGCTCCCAGAACGAGACGATCAAGAAATGGATGTCTCAGGAGACGAGTGCCTCGTATTTCGATCCCATCGACCGTAAGACTCAATTCGTATTTCCCGACCGAAAGGTGTTGGGCTATACTTTCGACTTGGGGTACGAGTACTCGATGCCTGTCCTCACGAACGTCACCACAGAGTTGGCGAAGTATGGCATTCGCGATGACTTCAACTTTAAGGCCGCCTTCACTCGACGCGTGAATGTCACCACACATGAGATCTACTTCTTCGTGGCCGACAGGTATTGCATGGTATCGCTGACCAACAGGTCCCGGCCCGGCATAAAGGCCTGCATTTGGAAATCCAATCAACAGTTTTTTAGATGCGATACATTGAAAGCCACGGTCACTGATGGGACGTCACCATCGATGGCAACTGAAGTATATACCGATTCAGTAACAAACAATACATTTACCACAAAGAAAGACATTTCCCCACAAATGCAGATCCAAGAGACGGACAGATCTGTGAAATCGGAATCGACAACAAATTCTTTGCCAAACATTTCTATAATACTTATTCTTTATGTGCTTTCAATTGTATTCAATTTTAACAAATATTAAATGTAATTAAATATTTAAAATTTATACTGTATTATATTTTGATATTGTATAAAATTATTTTCAATTAGCAGACAAATAACAATTTTATAAGAAAATACTTTTTTATTATTCATTAGTTGTATCGCTATTAGAATCACTAGAATTTTGTTTGTTTTCCTTTTGTTTAGCTTTTTTCTCCTCGTCTTTGACTTTGTTTTGGAGTGCTTTCGGAGTCACAAACTCTTTGGGTATTTGTTTTTCAAGCCATGGATATTGTGCTAAAGTTTTGACCAAATTGTTGATATTTTTAGGAATGCCTTTACCGCACAGTTTCTAAAAATTGGTTAAAACTAGTTTAAAGGGAAAATGTTTTATACAATAATTTCCAAATTACTTTACAAAAGGCATCGGAAAAGTGATTACAATTCCTTTGAATCAGATTATAATCTTTTCCTCTGAAGTCTTTGGCACCCATTTCTGACACCATTTGTTTGATACTCTCTTCACTGAGTTCTGTGTTTCCAATAATTTTGGATTCTCTGGATTTGTGTTAAATTATATATGAAACCAATTCTTAAAATCATAAAATTATAGCTAAATTTACTTGTATTTAAAAGTGTTGCTAACACTGAGAGATTTGATGTCTTTAGGCGTTGTGATGAATATACCGGTGCTATCATA